GATGGATGGATGGATGGATGGATGTCCCCATGGGGATATAAAAACAAACCTGTGTGTGTACCTCGTTTTTGCTACCTTTTTAGGACCTATTGTGGTATAAACACCTACAGTATACGGTTTAGATTATGATTAGGAATGTACTGGTTGTGCTTAGAGTTAGGGTTAACTTTGCATGTGTGACTTGAGAGCCTTTTTATTTAATTTATTTCATTTTAATTACACAATTTCTAAAGTGTGTGTCTCTGCCTGTGTGCTTGTGAGTTTGATTCTTTAGCCCATCATTTATCAACTGATGATGCCTTTATTTCTGTTTTTCTTTTTTAAGCTGTGATTCAGAATTGTTTTAACCCACGATGATGACTTCGTCAAAATGTAAAAATGATCACATTAAAATTTTTGACAGGTCGTTGTTAGCTGAAAATTTCAAAATAGCCATTTTACTAGAATATAGCAGAAATTGCATGATGTAATTTGAATCAGTATCTGTAAGGTAGCTGCAATGAAGAACATGAGGTGGTTAACTGTATATCAGAAGATTATATAAAAACTGACATTTTAATATAAAGTACTAATCACACATCATAGAAGTGCTCATTCACGTTAGATCATTACCTGCAGGCTCTTTAAAGCAGTGCTTCTCAAAGTTGGGATCGGGACCTCTTTGTGGGTCACAAAACATCAAGTGAGGGTCCCCAGATGATTTCCAGACATCAATTTAAATGCAAAAAAATGTTAATGTAATATTTTCACCATGTTTATAGCATTTTTTAACAAACATAAATTAATGCAATTAGTATCATTATTAGGTTTGTTTATATTGTTGTTACTCCAGTTTAACAAAGTTATTACCAAAGTTTGTAGACATACACAATATCTGAGGTCACAAGTGTCTGCAACTGTTATTTTGTGGGAAGCAAAAAAAGGTTTGAAAGCCACTCGTCTGAAGGACCTGTCACACTGTAAGGTCTTACACAACTTGTGCTGACTTGTGAAAGTTTTGTTATGAATAAATGACTTTTATAAGATAGATATTCAATCTAATCATTGTCATTGCAATTTATGTATATGTTCAAAAGAAGCTTCCAGTAGATTTTTTTTTAAATAATGTCATCATCTTCAGTGTTGGACAAAATTTTCATACGTTGGCATAGGTTTTCTAAAACATCATATTATGACAGGTAGATCTTGTAGAACAAGAGCGGACTGAAAAACCTCATTCAGCATGAAGTCAGTCATGACATAACATGCTATTTATCATCATGAAGCCTGCTTCAAATATTCAACAACTAAAAGAACTCCTGTCCAAACAGTCTCCACATCATGGATACTTTCTTACCGCTTCTAATGTTTCTCATACCACTGTAGAAATATGTCAAATATAACATACAAAACAGTGCACAACCATAGAGGTTTTAACAGTCCAACCGCAGCTTTCATGTCTCTTTACACTTAAAACGTTCAAACGTGTAAATACGCCCTGCTGTGAACACTGCTTGCTATTTCTAAAAAAGATCTCCGCACATGCTGATGCAGATGCAGATTAATAAAAAGGGAAGATGACGCATCATGGTCAACAATTAGTCTACAAAAAGCAACAGCTTTAAACATATTMTTTTCTCCTCTCCCATTGGTGTCTTCACTGAACAGTATAATTATTAAGACCAGTTTTTGCTTAAGCTTCTGCAACCAGACACACGTGTTTCTTACACATACAAATAAATTTGTTTAGTTTTACAGATAAGCTAAAGTTAGTTGCAGTTCTAGTTGCGTCATTCACAACACAAACTCCAGACGCTAACAGATTGTGTGAGATCTCACAGTAATGCGTGAAAACTCCACCCCTTCTTGTCTTTGATGATCTGGCATGAAAGATGTTAGACGATGTGCATCCTTTACCCAAAAGAGTTACATTTTATGGAGTTTATTAAACCATCTGTTTGAAACAAAACTTGTATGACACTGTTTTCAGATTTAAAACAAACTAAAACAGTAAAGTATGGCTTTTTATTTAATTTATTGAAGTTATTAGCTGACACAACTTGCTGTACACACAAAGAGAGATAAATTATCATTGTTAMAGATGCAAAACATTTAGACAGTTATAGAAAAAATACCATAAAGAATATATATAGATATATTATATAATGCATAGAGAGATGACCAAAAATATCTCTGTTGGATGAAAWCACCAAACAGCATCATTTTGTGGTACACTTGCACAAAGTCAGAAGATTTAATGAATTATTTTAAAGTAAGGATGTATTTATTTATGCTGAGAAGCAGATGCTACAGATTTTTTTTTATGTGCAAGCTATGAATTTATCAGTGACTGAAAAAAAAAACATTGTGGCTTAAAGCTGGGCGAGAAACTGTCAAATTTTGTAAGAAACATGAGGCTGTGGAAGACAGTTTCATGTCACCAATGAGGCCAGACTGAGCACCACATCCTGACACAAGGAAGTAACCATAGATTTCAAAACAGAACAAAACATGCCCATCTGGAAGATTCCCTGGCCGTCTATCTGAGGTCTCGGGYTGATCTGGGTTATCTGTTTGGACGTGTCCTGGGCTGTCCACCTGAAACCTGTCTCCTTCCTGAACTCRCACTGGGCCGTTTGTCTAAACTCTTCTGCCTAGATGTGCTCTGGGTCATCCACCTGTCCATCCATTTTGTCTTTGGTCTTGTTGCACTGACATTTGTTTGTTTTAGCCTCGTGTCCAGGTTCTCTCCACCCTCAAAACATCAAAAGTCTTGTTTTTTTTATGATGGGATATCAGGATTTGTGGGGTTTATTTGGGGTTATGTTTTGGTAGTTCTGATGTCTTTATTTTTAGGTTCGTTGTTTGGTTACCACTATTATTTTCTTGGCCCTGTAACTGAGTTGCAACCTGTCTAGTGTGTACCCCGTCCCTCACACAGTGACTGTTGGATATGGGAACTAGTGACCCCCCATGACCCTGAAAGGAAGAAGCAGGTAAAAGATGGATGAGTTATTTTCTATGCTTTGTGATCTTTGTGTTTTGTTCTGGTTCTTTGTTTTGACCCTTTCCTCAGCTCCTTGACCCCCCCACCCCACAATTTTTTTAAACAAGACAGGATCTAAGTCATTTCTTTTTCACCTGGTACMTAATACACACAGATGAATACACATATAAATAAAAGTTTAATTCATTCAGGTTTGTGACATTAGGGTAAATTAGCCATGATGCTAACATAAACAAAWGTATATTAAAGGTCTTTTGCTGACGTGAMTGATGTTTAKTTGTCTTTGKTTCATTTCCTCTCTGTMTCKGACATGAGAAGTGCAGTCTTTGTTCAGGTAGGTTTTCTGAACATTCAGATCACTTCAGTCTTTTTTAACTGTTGCATACATACAATCATTTGCTACAGC